CAGTTCACATCCACGACAGCGTGGCCCTGCACACAAGCGTTCTGCCAAGTGCTGCTTGGAAAATCTAGAAAGAAGATATAACCTGCAGCATTTGGGAGCACGTCAAAATTCATAAGGTTTTCCAAGAAATATTTTGGCACTGGTACCTTGAACCTACAGACCTCAGCCAGCTATTTCCACTGAAATGAACGATATCAAAAGGAACTCTTTTCGCCAACGTGTATTTCCCTTTTATAAGACCCCTCCAATTTAGAGAGGACACGCTGAGATCTGGTACTGCACAATAAAGCACAAGGGCTCAGTTATTAAAGAACACAGTGCAGCTCTTCAAATTATATTATATAGACATTAAAATCCCTCAAGTGCTGACCAGTGGAAATTCTACTGAACAGCCCTAGTTTGAGATCAGGGTCAATCTCAGAAAGTCAGTAATTTAGTGTTCCAAGTAGGTGTTCAAACTGCTGTTACTTAAGGAAAAAATTGAGATTAAGTCATCCTTCTTAAGAAAACTCTAACGGGCACAGTTTCCCATGACAGAAATTATGGCCAACAGTAAAGCTGTTAAAAAAAAATAAAATCTACTCGGTTAACACAGAAAAAAGGTGCAGAATGAAACCAAAAAAGAGCTCTGGAATCTAGACAGCATTATGCCAGTCCCAGAGAGCACAGAAAATGGTGACTATTTACATTCCACCGAAAGTGCAAAACAAAAGGTCACGCGGCTTTCCAAAAAGCACAAGTAAGAAAATAGCCATACTTGCTACGTTTTCTTCTTTCTAAGTTCCTTACCAAGTAGTTCAGTGACATGTTAAAACTTTTCCTATTAACAAGTTATTCAAACTAACTTGAAGGTCTGCCAAGACAATGACCATTATGAAAAGCACAGTATAAACACAAATCTGCCTTTTCCCCTGCTTGCTGGAAAGAGTATTTTGCCTGGCACGATGAAAACTAATTTACTTTTCCAATACATTAATTTCTTAAATCAATAAAACTGATACTTATTTTCTACTTACCCCTTTCTTCCTTGTAAATTCTATGAGCTATTTTGTCTAGTACGTTTATTTTCTGACTAAATGTTTCCATGTAATTGTTCATTTCTGTAAACATTTCAGGACGATTTTTAACTCCCCCTCTTACTGAGGATGCTACAGCTCTGACCGTCTGTCCCATCCTGCTCAGCAAACCGGGACCCTGCTTCTTGTGTGAGGAGAGTTCCTATAGACAGAACAAGCCGTGTTTACTTCCATGTACTTTTAAAAATTCTCTGAAAATAATGCATACATTAAGGCTTTTTTTTTTTTAAACAAAACTACATACCTAAGGCTCTGTGTGTCTTTTTAGCGTATAAATCCTACTTTAAAATTATTAGACCAGTGTCAGAACCGTACCTGTCATGTGCATTTATTAGCTAAGCCTTTCTGGGCAAACAGAAGCATGCCATGTATCACGCTCTCACAAGAGTGATTGAAGATGGCAGAGAACCTTTACCCTTTCATTCCTTAGGGTGAGTTAGCTAGTTTGCAATTTAGCCTTTTGAACAGGAAAGGAGAGGCAATGATTGCAGAAATAAGTCATTGAGAAAAAGCAAACAACGCTCCTGCTGGAAGAAGTAATCCATCTTTTTTTTTTTTGTAACTCTTTTTATACGTTGCTGGAATAACCTTTGCTGAAGTTCGGAGGCAGGCTTTTCCAAGTACAAAACTCCAATTTTCAACTGGACTCGTCTTGCAAAAATGCAACAGGAAATTCAAAGGCTGTATTTTTCTTTTATGAGACTAGTATAACTTTTAAAAAAAAAAGCAGATGAAAAAGACAGTGCCATGCCAAAACAATAATTAATTTAAAGTACTACATTTCATATCTTGGAAGCTTATACATATACCAAAAAGCATGCGGAGTTGAAATATTGTAAATTTGCCACAAAAATCCAAAATGCAGCAACAAAAACTGCTTTGGAAGTTACAGCAACATTTATGGCCACACACGATTACCAAAAGCACAGAAGAAAAGGTTATCTCGGGGGATGAATATTCCATAAATCCCCTGCTGCCTTCTGACACTTCTGTAACAAGCCATGGGAGGACACTATTGAATACTGAACTAGGGAGAATCCCGATACACTCTACTAACACAAGACGTGGTTTCACGTAACTGTAAATAAAAATAAAGTCATTTTACCCAGGCCTGTGCAGTAAGAAAAATTTTGAAGTCTTCATTAAAAGTTAAAGTTGGATGATCAGCAATACGGTTCAAAAATTTATGTAAAGCTTTTCTTCGAGTCTCAATGAATTCATCACTAAATCGTTCCACCATTCCTTTCATTATGAATTTTTCAGGCAATGGCTAAGGAAAAAAGAAAAAATGTGTTGTATAATTTGCATAATATTAAGGGTATTATAATAGTTCTTCTGCTTACTAAAACCCATAGGTTTACCTTGCAGAACCCACCATGCAAAAACCAAATCGTTATAAAGTTATCACATTCAACAGTGGTATAACATGGTTCTTGTAGCACACAGTGCAGAAGAATACAAGTACAACTAAGAAAGAAGGACATAAATTACTGCAAATGGCACAACTGCAAACATAAGAAATACCTTTATGGGATTTTTAATTATCACATATGTATAAAGCTAATTAAACTAAGTTGGTTTAACGTTTGTGAGATTTCAGAAAACCGAAGAAAGACCTCAAACATCTCTGTATAAAACTGGAGCCATCTTATAAACAAATAAAAATAACTTAAGTTTTAGCAAACGAACAGGAATAATCAGTGTTGGATGTGCTTCTTCAAGTTTGCTCTTCAACCAAAGGAAATCCTGATATCGTCTTCGAACTTCATATTCACTGGAGTCAAATTCACCACGAGATGTCTGAAAACCAGAGGCGGAACAAACAGGCCCAGGTTAGAATACCAGAAAAAAAGAACAGAACAGTATTAGATTTTGGAGAAAACTGAGTGCTTGAAGGGAGTGCATACATGATCCTATTTTGCCCATGTTATTTGCTTGCTGTTTTTTGAAGTGCAATGATCAACTACTTGAAGAGATAAAACACACCCGTTTTAGCAAGAAATCAAAGTTCTATTGTAAAAACAAAAAAGAAAAGCAAGCACCAAACTGCACACAGAGTGACTTACAATAATTAGCATACCACAACGTTTCCAAAAGATTTCAATCATTATTTTAGTGTGGCATTCTCCTTTTAGCAATCATGGTTACGTTCGTTACTTTTAGGGCACTTCTTTTAAAGTGATTAGTAATCTACGAGTGAGGAAAGTCCATTTTTTAGCATTCTGAAAAAAAACCCCAAAGAGCTGACATACGTCCTTGGGACCTGCTGACACTCGTCAACAATCCCCACATTCAAAACCTGAAAACTTCAGCACATCATAGCAATAACACTTCCCGCGCTGCTTAATGGATTCTGCGTTCCATCATCAATTCCAGTTTTGTAGCCCTTTGTTAGAACTTGCCAACAAACCTTTAATGCCTAGAAAAAATGCTTATTACAGTGTTGCAAAATTGTCAGACCATGAGATTCATTTTATCACCGCTTTATCTTCTAGAATCAAGCCACAAAGAGCCCGTGTTTTCATTGAAGTAATGTGTTCTGTTTAGCATTCATTGTTGCACAGAGATTCATAATGCGATGCAAGTAAATTCTAAAAACCTCAAAACACGCTTTTGTAATCTAAACGTTTTTGAGGGTTGAAAAAAAATTTTTCAAGGTATGTGGGAGGAATGCTATTACTTTATCATCAACAACCAGCACTTCAAATTAAATACGATAAGAAAGGATAGAATAGATAAAAAAGCAAAAGCAATCCACCTTCCAGCCCTTCCATACTTGCCTGAAGAAAATATGTTCTCTCGTCTGCAAAAACATGCATAAAGTGAAAATTATTGCTAGCAACCTAACGGAGATAGCTCTTTTCCTACTCTTTAAATATTTTATGAGGAATTGATATCTCCTCTTATTTAAGGATGAATAATTCCCATTTGAAAATTTGGTTTTAAATGAATATTTTAAAAAGAACTCAAAGTAAAATAAATTAACAGTGCAATTCTCAAAATGCAGCCTGCAGAATATTTGCTGGTAATCCCAGAAGAGCTGGCTAGTCTCACAAGGCTGACTTTCTTCCTTATTTCCAGTAAATAATTTGTATTCAGGACAGCCAAAAATACACTTAGTTGTTTCCCAATATTACTTTTTCATTGGAGAATTGTGGCAGTTTCCCCAGAAATCATATGCAACTGTAAATGGGAAACAAATATCCGTGTGATAGTGGATGCTGTAATTACAAACGAATGGAATTGAAAGGCTTTGTGGCAGGTAACATTTACGCAAGACAAAAGACCGCTAGCCTGCAAGTGATCCAAAAGTCATAAATACTTG